TCCCAGTGTCTCATATTGAACCATGGCAGCTAATTAATGCAATGGGATAAAGCTGTATTAATTCCACAGTGTAGATGTGTCATGGGATACTTCATATTATGCTGCATCCTATAAACATAGGGAGGAGTGTAGGAGTCAGAAATTTCTGGAACTATTAAGAAAAATAGATCTCTCTCACATTCGCCCTATACATGTGCCTGAGTGATGCATAACATAATAATTGAGCATGTATTGGTTAATCATGCAAGGTGATGGTTTCAGTTGTTAGACTGAATAACCCGTTATCTCTGATCCGTTAGGAAAACCAAGATTTTGCCCTACATATAAACAGAAGAGCTTTAGAAGTGTTTTTCAGTGCCCAAAATATGTATCTACTTTCCCATAAAACAACTTATTTTATATCATTCACTCAAAGAGACAAAAATGAAATAGACTTGGATAAAAAAATAACATTTGGTTTATTCACAACCTTCATGCGTTCAGCATAAACAAGTATAAAACTTATGAGTCCAGTTTCAGATACGTTTGAGATAATTTTCTGTGCCATCCGGCCAGGAGATCTCACAGCAGTGGTTCTCAACCTGTGGGTCCCCAGATGTTTTCACCTTCAACTTCCAGAAATCCCAACAGCTGGTAAATTGGCTGGGATTTCTGGGAATTGTAGGCCAAAACACCTGGGGACCCACAGGTTGAGAACTGCTGTGGTACAGCAAGAACAGTAAGCAAGTGTGTGATCTGAGGTCTGAAGTAGTCTGTCATTAGTCTGTAGTGATCATGTTGCCTGCAGCCCCTTTTATAACTTCTCAGGTACCATAAAGGAAGTGGCATACCAGAACATACAGGAAACAAGCAACAGGATCATAGATAAAATTACTAGAGAAGGCTTGAAGAAGGTTGTCATTTCCAACAGTTAGATCCCCAATCGTCCTGTTTCAAGTTCTGGGGCAGGAGCCGTCATGGTGGCACCATGAGTTAAATTCTTGTGCCGGCTCATCTGAAGGTTGGTGGTTTGAATCTGCAAGGTGGAGTGAGCTCCCATCTGTCAGCCCCAGCTTCCCATGCAGGGACATGAGAGAAGTCTCCCGCAAGGATAGTAACACATCTGGGCATCCCCAAGGCAACATCCTTGCAGACGGCCAATTCTCTCACACAAGGAGCGACTTGCCCCAAGCCGCTTCTGACATGATAAAAAAAGTTCTGTCTTCCCATCACATCACAGATTTCTGTCTTCAGGTTTTTGCCTGTTGGTGACTTTATTTGGAACCATCACATTCGGATTCCCTTTCTCGCCCTCTCTTTTTTTAAATCAGGGGAAACCTAATTAAACATGGGGGGGGGGATTTTAAACCCTTTTGCCATTATAAGTCTTTCCCATGCCTTCCTTCCCTCTGTTATACCACTATCATTTTAAACCCCTTTGCTACAATCCCCTCTTGCAAAGCTTTGCTTCCCTTCATTAGGCCAGTGTAATTATAAGCCCCTTTGCCATGATCCCCTCCTGCTAGGCTTTCATTCTCACTATTAGATCAGTGTTATGTTCAGAAGCTAGCAAGAGCACAATTTCGAGCCTAGATTACTATTAAGGAAAAAATATAGTGAAAGCAAAGTGGCGAGAAACCCCAATTCCACCACATTACTGAAACAACACAGGCAAATCTCTCAGATCCCATTGCATGTGTTTTTTTGGCATTAGCAACAGTTCTGGTGTGCTCCAGCTGCTCAGAACACGATTTCTCTCCCATGTTCTGAACTGTCTCCTTTCAGCATGCTTCGTCTCCATAAAGACAAATGCCATCTGATGGATTTATTTATTTATCTATATCATTTTTACCCCACCCATATCAGCCTAAAGGCAACTCAGGGCGGCGAACAATCGGCATAATTCGATGCCACATATAAAATACATGCCACATATAAAAATGAAAATAAAACATCACATTACATTATATCTAAAAACATCAAACCATTAAAAAAAAAAATTAAACTATGTTGTCATATTCAGCCCTCATCCGTTCCATCATCTTAGCCGTTCCTAGGTCATTTTCCGTGCCACTTGGTCCTTGAACTGGACCTAAAATGTCCTACAATAGGGAAATCGCTCCCTGTGATGAGCTCCAGAGAATGACCCACGTAGACCTTGTCCCACACAATGGTTTATCAAGGGTTATGGCAACCCAGTGTGGTATCTCAGGGAGTAACCAGCATGGATCTTCTCATATAATGGCGTCACTAGGGTTAGTGTTGGCCACATTGACCTTCCACACAGTGCTTTCTCTAGGATTGGGGTCACGCAGTGTGATAACTCACAGAGATACCGCATGAGCCTCTTTCCATACAATGGTTCCTCATGGGTTGGGGTCACCCACCGTGGTAACTCATGGGGAAATCCAGATGAGCTTCCTCCTATACAGCGGTGTCATTAGGATTGGTGTCAGCAAGGAAGCACAACAAGGGGACCTCTCCCAATACATTGGTGCCCTTAGTTGGAGTGAGCAAAAGGGTGAGCTGCTTCAGGAGCACCTGGAGCTCCTATTTGAGGGACATCATCTCTAATTTAATTGTCATGGCTCAATGCTGTGCAATCCTGGGATTTGTAGTTTGGCATCAGCATTCTTTGGCAGAGAAGGCACAAGTCCTTGTAAAACTATGCCCCTTTTGGAAAATGGCAGTTACAGCCTTTTGGAAAAACACCTTTTGGAGATCGTAACTTTTTTAAAAAACAACCATGACCTTTCAGAGAAGAGCCAAAACCCTTTAGAGTAGAATCTTCTCATGTGGTATACAACCAGATATAAGTATGCAAGCCGATAGTTTCAGTTAGACTGAATAATCCGTTATCTCTGATCCATTAGGAAAACTAAGATTTTGCCATTGCATAAAAACAGCAGAGCTTTAGAAGTGTTTTTCAGTGCCCAAAAATATTACTCTCCCATAAAACAAATTGTTTTATATCATGCACTCAAGAGACAAAAATAAAGGAGACTTTGATAAAAAATAACATGGTTTACTCACAACCTTCATGTGCTCAGCATACACAGGTTCAAAAACTTAGTCAAGATTCAGATGTGTTTGAGACGGTTCCCTCTGCCAGCTGTCCAGGGCATCTTTCATAGCAAAAAAGCAAGCAAGTGATCACATAGAGAGAGAGCGCATGTGGTCTGCAGCCCCTTTTCTAACTTCTCAGGAACTATGGACTAAAGTAAGCAACATAGCAGAACATAGATACAGGAAACAGTAAGCAACAGGATTATAGATAAATATTATAAATATTACTAAAGAAGACTTGAAGAAGATTGTTATTTCCAACCCCCCCCCCCCCCTTATAATGCCATAGCATTGAGCCAGGGCAGTTAAAGTGGCCTCATTTACATTGCTGGAAGCTTTGGAGTTCTAACACTTTTGTTTTTAAGTATGCAGCAATTGTTATGCACACCTTTTTTGGCCAAATTACAAACAGTGCACATTTTTTGGTTTCAGGATTTTGAAAATTGAGGTGCACATTAGATTTGATGGTGCATTACACTCATGTAAATAAGGTTATTGTAGAATTGGTGGCCTGTGGCAGAAAAGCCCATCTAAGTAGTCGCCCCAGGGCTGAGAACAGCGGTCTGTAAGCACAGTAAATAAATAAATAAGTAGTGAAGCCGCAGCCTCATCATTACTGGAAGGAATGGAATTATGCCTTGTCCCTTTACCCCAGTAATGTCACTCACTTAGACATTAGTTAAACTATAATAATAATAAAAAATAATTGAAAGTAGCTTTTTATTTTTGACTAGTTTCTAACACGCTCTCTGAAAAATCTAGAGAAGTTTGCTGAGAGTGTGAAGGTGAATATTTTACAGGCTGAAAAGACATAGTCTTCAGTGAGGCATGGGCCAATTAATGCATGGGGATGTAAGGAAGCTACCCTCTTTATTTTATTTACTTTGCTTATATACCGCTGTATCTCAAGCCCGAAGGCGACTCACAGTGGTTCACAAACAGTAAAAACAGTAGAAACAGCAGTGGTTCCATACAACATATAACAATTGACTTAACACATTATCCATAAATTACCAATAAGCAATTACAATGCACAATTATTACAAAAAACAACCGTACCCAATCTTCTCATCATCCAAGCGTAGTCCAGGTTCGTCGTCCATTGTTCCATTCCTATGTTCCATTACCAGATTGCACTAATTATTGAACGCCTGCTCAAACAGCCAGGTCTTCACTTTTTTGCGGAATACCATTAGAGATGGTGCTAGTCTAATGTCCGTAGGAAGGGCGTTCCACAGCCGAGGAGCCACCACCGAGAAGGCCCTATCTCTCGTCCCCGCCAGCCGTGCTTGAGAAGCAGGCGGGATCGAGAGCAGGGCCTCCCCGGAAGATCTCAAAGTCCTGGTGGGTTCATAGGCAGAGATGCGGTCGGATAGGTAGCTTGGGCCGGAACCGTTTAGGGCTTTAAAGGCCAACGCCAGCACTTTGAATTCAGCCCGGTAGCAGATCGGTAGCCAGTGGAGTTGGCGCAACAGGGGGGTTGTATGCTCCCTGCGCTCCGCTCCTGTTAAAATCATGGCTGCCGAGCGTTGGACTAGTTGGAGCTTCCGAGCTGTCTTCAAAGGCAACCCCATGTAGAGAGCGTTGCAGTAGTCTAAACGGGATGTAACCAGAGCGTGGACTACCGTGGCCAAGTCAGACTTCCCAAGGTACGGGCGCAGCTGGCGCACAAGCTTGTGCTGTGTTTCAGAAAAATTAGGGAGTACTACATTAAAGATGGTACTAGTCTTAGGTGGAAAATATACTGTTCTTATGAACTTTTAGGAGCAGAATGATTTTGTAGTTTAAAATCCTCATGCAGCCATGGAAATTCGCTAGTTGACCTTACAGCAAATCAAACTCTCTCCATCTCAGACAGAGATAAACCCCTTTAAACAAATCTTGCCATTATAGATAGGATTGCCATAAGTCAGAATATACATGAATACAAACAATGAAATGGACCTTTGTCTACAATGACTACAAAAAACCCTAATGATTTTTATGGCTTTCAGATGTTTCTGTTTCAGTCTATTCCATATTCTTAAATGTGTGTATTATACTAGGAACATGATGCCTAATGCTAAGGAGACCACCCCAAGTGACTGGAATGCTTCCCAGAGTGCAGAGTGTGACCCCAGAAAAGCAAAGGAACATGAAGACAACCATAGTGGAGACTTGCCTGACCTATGTCCACCTGAAACTCCACCTTGTATGTGCAATTCTGCGTGAATGCTTAAAAACTCAAGCATCACAATAGCATATTTTGAAATTGTATTGGAAAGATTTGAAAGTACTTTGATATGCAATGTAGGTTCTGAAATCAATTGAAAAACATTTGCAGAGAGAGCGTCAAAGAAAAACTATACAAAAAGGAATCAGTAAAGAGTTTAATTTCCTATGTATAATAGTGTATCAGGTCCATTAGGCAGACTTATTTATTTTTTATATAGCATTTCATAAAGTAGTATATGCAGTAAAGCAACTGAAATTAGATTTTCAAACAGCAGAGCTTAAAATGTGTTGTGACAACCATAATTATATTTGTAATTATTTCCTAATATTTTTCATTAGCAGAAGGAATACCCGCAGTATAAAGGAAAAAGTTGCAGATCACTGGATTTTGTATTTTTTAAAAAACAACAATTATTCTGATTTTTATTAGGTCAAATTACTTAATTCAGGTACTCCTTGAATCTTAGTAGACAACAAACCGAACATGAATCAACACTGTGATGCGACAGCCAAAAGAGTCAATGCAATTCTAGGCTGCATCAATGGGGTATACTGTCTAGAGTGAGTAAAGTAGTGGTACCACTCTATTCTGTTTTGATCAGACCTCACCTGGAATAATGTGTCCAGTTCTCTGCACCACAATTCAGGAAGGATATTTACAAGCGGGAGGGTGTCCAGAGAAAGGTGACCCAAAATGGTCAAATGTCTAGAAGTCAAGTCCTGTGAGGAACAGCTTAGGAAGTCGGATGTGATTAGCTTGGAGAAAAAAACACTGAGAGGGAAAATTATAGCCATGTTTCATCATTTGAAAGAATGTGTTAGAGAAGCTTGTTTTCTGCTGCTCCAAAAACCAAGACTAAGAGCAATGGATACATACTACAAGGAAAGAAATTCCACCTAAATATTAGGAAAAAATTTTTGATGGTTATTCCTGCCTGACAGTGGAATATGCTGCCTCAGAGTGTGGTGGGGTCTCCTTATCTGTAGTTTTTAAAGCAGAGGCTAGATGGCCATTTGTTGGGAATTTTTTGATTGTGTTTTCCTGCGTGGCAGGGGGTAGGACTATATGACCTTTATGGTCTCTTTCAAGTCTATGATTTTACAGCTCTTTATCCTGCCTTTCTCTCCAAAATGGGTCTCAGGACAGCAACCAGAACTAAGAACTAAAATACCCCGTTTAGGGCTTATATTGCCCTAAACAGTTCTGTCCTAGATTACCTATCCGAACGTATGAACCACCTTGGAGATTAAGATTGTCTGGGGAGGCCCTGCTTTCAGTGCCACCTTTTTCGCAGGTGCAGTTGTTGGGGACGAGAGACAGGGCCTTCTCAGTGGTGGTCCCTCAGGTATGGAACTCCATCCCCAGCAAAATTAGAGCAGTGCTCTCCCTCCTGGCCTTCAGAAGGAAAGTGAAAACATGGCTTTGGGATCAAGCCTTCGGAGAATAGTGCAGTGCAATAACAGATATGCTGTAAACCGCAATGAGTCGCCATACAGGCTGAGATATTGGCGGTATATAAGCGCACCAAATAAATAAATAAATATGGAATATGTACAATGACTATTGGAATGGCCCTGGAGTACGATTATGGATGGCTTGGTTTTAGTATTGACTGTAATGTTTTTTAATATTTAATATGTATTAGTTTTTAATTTAATTTTAATTTTAATATTATTGGAATTGTATGTTGCTCTAAGGCACTGACTAATTGCCTTTATGTAAACCGTCTTGAGTCCCCTTTGGGGTTTGGAAAGGTGGGGTAGAAATAGGGTAAATAAAAGAAAGAAAGAAAGAAAGAAAGAAAGAAAGAAAGAAAGAAATTAAAACATGATAACTTTAAAAAGAAAATCAGTAAGAGATGAGGAGAAATTCAGCATCTGCCTAAATTAAAATCTCCCTTTAATGAAGAGTAGCTTAACTGCTAAAACCTTGTCTGAATAAGACTTTGTCTATTGGTGGGAGAACATCAGCGAAAGGATAGCTTAGTATCCCATAGTAGCCTGGTTATGGGTCCCTCTAATCTAGGCTGTTATTACAGGCTATAGTTCTCTAGTGTTTTGGTAAGGGTTTTTGTCATTGCTGCTATCTTGTTTTCTTTCTAGTGAATGTACATATAATGGAATGGGCTATCCCCAGCTATTATTCCATGCATCCAGCTTTCATGGGAGAAATTCCACTTGGATGCAGCAGATGCTTTTCTGTATGTTTTTAGGGTTCTGATGTCAGAAATGTTCCTCTCCTTTATCTTCCGACACTACTTTCCTCAAAAGAAATGCTCAGAGCTAAAAATTGGGGGGTTTTTTTGGTTTTTTTAAAAAAACCAAGACTGCACATTTTATAGCCTGACAGATCAAGCACAACTTTCTTGTCAGCATGGCAAACTATTTTTGCAGCTTGCCTAGAACTGCAAAAACAGTGTCATATGAATATGTCAAAACTGCATGGCTGGTGAATAACTGTCTTGGTTTTCACAAGGAATGCATGTCCCTTTAAATTAATCGAGATAGATCCCCCCCCCCTTTTTTAAAAAGAAATATCCCTATAATCCTTGATTAGCCTCCTAAGTGCCATTATATTTTATTATTATACAGCCAGTCCTCCTCAATTATTTTCCATGGCAGAGCTCATGGAAACAGCAAATGAAGTCTCAAAAATGACCATAGCACATGAAATTGTAGTAAATCAGGACTTCAAACTGCAAGAGGTGAATTTCCCACCAAACAGGTAGGGTTTGTTTTTTTTATAATCCCCATATTCCAAATTGTTTTCAATGAAATCAGTTACTTTATTTATTCATTGACCATAGAATTGCACTTAAAGATTTTGATTTCCTATAGAGAGGTGTTCTCTCTAGGAATTTCTTAGGCACTCCAGTGTGACACTATGGTCAACCTTTGGAGGAAGCTGACTATAGAGTTTCACTGGAGAACTTAGAACATTTTAATCAAATCTGTGATTAATCAAATCTATAAATGTGGAGGGCCAACTATAATAGCAATACAGGTCATGTTAAGGGACCACCATTAGCGACACCACTGACTTTAAATACTAATATGCATAAGTTGGAAAATATGGTTCTCTAAACATCTGAGTCCTAAGTTACTTTATATACTAGTACTAACACCTTGAATTATGTGTGATGCGTTATGGCAGCCAGTGAAGTATTCCCAAGTGGTGTTATAAATCTTAAATTATTTAATCCAGAATAGAAATTAGCAAGTATCTACATGAGAAACTACAACTGTCTCATGTAAAGTTCTCTTTAAAGAGCTATGCATAATAGTCTGCTCAGAGCGATGCAGTAGTGGTGCCATGGATGGTGTACTTTCTACTCTTGGGTTGAAGGACAAATGCATAGGATGGGGGAAGGTCGTCCTATAATAAAACATGAGAGGAAAAATGTTAACAGCAGCTGCTTTTAACTTCTTGTAGTTTGGAAAGCAGTGTAAAAGAGACACTGCACAAAGTCTTTTGGGACCGTCTGAGAGAACAGCTTTCCAGAATGCCACCAGATTATTCCCATGCTATCAAACTACTTCAAGAAATAAAAGAGGTGAGTTACAAATGAGGGTAAATGATAAAGTTGGGAGGGGAGAAAAAAAACTTCATTACAAGTATACATTAATTCACAAAGTAGATGTGGTCCTGGACATTAAAGAAAACTTCGGACCAGAAATAGATATTACTTGGAAAGAACTGAGACGGGTACCAAAAAAGAAAATCAATTCAACCACACTAAATGATACCAACAGGGAAAATGACACCAAAATGACTGTGTGTACATGTTTGTAAAGTATTTCAGCAGAAAATTATCATTTGCCCCTATCTCTGTAGTTAGATATAACTACAAGCACCGTTTTCATTAACCAGCTTACATGAACATGTACTATATAAATATATCTACGAGGCTAAAACTCTATTCTGGTTTACTTTTTGAACTTTCTAATGTCAGAGCTGGTCAGAGCTGTCATTATTACCCAATTATGATGACAGTTCAGGTCATGCAGTTTTCTCCTTCACATGCGAGAAGCATGTGCTGTGTTTTAATTGCATTTTTACTGGGCGTGAGTGTGAGATTTTATTTGCATTTTTACTGGGCGTGAGTGTGAGACAGGCAGAGGAATTGTTACGTTTTACTGATTAGAATTTGTATTGGCTGGTGGTTCTGGAAGATGTAGTCAAAAAACTTGTGCGACTATTTAAAATACAAAAAACTGCAAAGAGAATGATTGAATCATTTAATGCACAGTAAAGGATGGGAAGCAGAGGCATCTAGACCTTCCATCTATCCATTTCTCCCATGTCTTGGGACAACAGGGTCTTGACTTATCCTAGCTATCACGACTGCTGTGGCCACAGAGGTGCTTGGAGAGCATCCAGCTTTGAGTCTTGCAAGACCTAAAAGGTATTCCATCTTCGAAGGTGGCAGCAGCTACTGTTTAAAGCCTGCAAGAGTTGTGACTGTAACAACACTTATCTTTAAGTTAAATGTTTGTAGCTGGACTGTCCTTTGGCATTTTTCCAAAATTAGTCTAATGTGAGTTATTAATTGTTTAATCTTACTGAACATTGTGTCTGTGAGATTTTTATGTACGGTTATGATATCATTATCAGGAAATGTTCTGTGATATATGTAAATTTCTTCTTATGTTCCTATAAATTGGTTTGAGTGCCATTTCACCATGGAAAAGTGAGCATAGGCTTGGTTGAATAATTTTAGATGTCTCAAAAAGAATCCTCAAATGTTATAGTATCTCTATTCCTGGGAGGCTATATCCATTAAATAAGTGCCTTTCCCAAAGCTGTTTAAGGCACAGGAGCTCAGTGAGGAGAAGGGGGGGGGGGGCATACAGGCTGTGAATCCTAGTATTACATGCCAGAGACAGAAAGAAAAAACATAAGGAAACCCAGTCTCTTTTAACCATAAACCAAACTTGAAAGAAATGCTTCTTAGGGCAAATTCAGATTATCTGTGTGTCAGTCTTTCATGACTCACAAAATAGTTTGCATAATGTGCAATTATTTGTATAATATATAAATGCGGCTACCTGCATTTTGATGTTAGCCCTGAAACAGATTGATTGACTGACTACTGGTGCATGATAAGGCAGTTTAGTAGAGGTAAACACTTAACTAACACTTGAGCTGAAGGGAGATGAAGACCAGCAAAAGAGAAAAAACATTGGAAGAAGGCAGGTTATAACACTGAAATTAGTGATGCAAAGATCATCTATCTAACCCGCCTGGTGCTGGGGGAGACCACATGATGGCCTTTGTGGTCTCTTCCAACTGTATGATTTTATGGACAGCACTATGTAGCAGAGGGCAGCATGAAAGAAAAGAGGTTGAATGTGGAGAGAAGACAAAGCACTGAGGTGAGATGTGATTATTTTTTTGCTAGTAATAAATAAATATTTCAGTTAAGTAGCTGCCACACCTGCTCCTGGAATTACTATGTGCTGCACAATTATCTTCCTTTCAGGTGCTAAATTTTTGTGGGATTACTCCCTGCTCATACTTGTATACTACTTTAATAAAAACAATGTCTGGAACAAGAGTATAAATATAATTGGCCCTAAATAGTTATTTTCTCTGTTTAGTCATGTGTGAAATCAGACTAGTCTGGAAAATAGTGAAATGAAATTCATTCCCTATAACTTCTGTAGTATCTGAAATAATTGTGCATGTTTTGAAAATCAACAATTAAACATTAATTTGAAGATTTGTATGTACAAACAAATGCACTTTCTTGTTGTGTAGATCCTGCTGACCTTGCTTCTGCCCCGGCAGACTCGTTTGAAAAGTCAAATTGAAGACGCTCTGGATATGGAGTTGATAAAACAAGAGGCTGAGCATGGGGCTTTGGACATTGCTAACCTCACCACATATATCCTAGGTACAATGGCCATGCTCTGTGCCCCTGTGCGAGATGAAGAAATTCAGAGACTGCGAGGCTTGACAGATCCAGTTCATCTGCTAAGGTGGGCACCATTGGCTTGGACAAAGGTAATTCTATAGAAGCGGTACAATCATTGATAAAACTGTTGCAATGCAAAATTAGACTGGGTAGAAATGCTATAAATAAATAAATAAATAAATAAATAAAATCTTGTCATCCTAGTTATTTATGACCCTTATTACTTGATCTTGCTAAGTAAAGGAAGTGAAATCTATAATGTCTTCTTGACTTCATCACAGAAGGAAGAGTAAAGTGGGAACAGTTGAAGCTCATTGCTATTACTACATATAGTATTAATATGGTTTTGCATTACATTTCGAAAGGGCCACAGAATCAACGCTAGAAAGAATAAGAGAGCATTTGTTCCCATTCTCCCATTGTATCTGTTCTTTGATGCAAATCAATTCAACATTTTTTCTTTACTTTAAAAGTGGAATTAAGTGTTGGGACTATCACAGTTTCTCAACTATATCTTTAGTCTGTTGTAATTGTAAATCTGAATAATTATCTTCACATCAGTATTTAAGTTGAATTTTAGTTGATCTGATTAATGGAGAAAAAGTAGCCACAGCAACAACAGAAATGGGAGGTTGTCATATTGTAAGAGAAAAAGATTAGTACTATAAACAAAGTGAAGAGCAGGGGTGATACCGTCACTTTATATTTTTCTTTATACCAACGACAGTTTCAACATAACAGAGCACTAGGTAATGTATGTATCTATGAATGAATGGATGAATGATACTTTATTTCTATCCTGCCCTATCTCCCCAATGGGGACGTAGGGCAGCTTAGAACATATAGAGAGGCAAACATTCAATGCTGTATAAAAATACAAAATAACCTAAACCAAAAGATATAACCCAATTTGCATTTACACAAACAGCAAAGAGAATCAGACAATTGAACAGAGACAAACAAATTCACATTATGGCCATTTCATATTTAACAGATTTTTAAAATTTAGAGTTTAAATGATTAACTTAAAAGCATTTAAAAGCCAAATCCACATTTCACTTCTTCTAGTCCATCTGTGCAAAGTATTTCAAGTATCCTCCTCTCCATATACCTATGTATACAGAAAGGTCTTCAGATGTTTTTTAAAGGACAGTATTGAGGGAGCCATTTTGATCTCCATTTTGATAGTTACCGATTTACTTCTGGGCCCAATTCAGAGTGCAGCTTATTACCTATAAAGCTCGTATAGTGTCTATTTACGTGACTGCATCCCTCCTTATGAACCTGCTTGGGCTCTAAGATCAGCTGGTCCTGCTTCTCTCACAATTGAGGTTGGTGGTGAGGAGGGAGAGGGCCTTCTCGGTAGTGGCCCTTGACTTTGGAATGCTCTTCCCAAGGAAAATAGAGAACTCCTGGAACGATTCCATCAGCGCTGCCTCCGGAAAATCCTGCAAATATCTTGGGAAGCAAGCGGACAAACGTCAGCGTGCTGGAAGAAGCAAAGACCACCAGCATTGAAGCGATGGTCCTCTGCCATCAACTCCGCTGTCCGGATGCCTGACCACCGTCTCCCAAAGCAGTTGCTCTACTCTGAACTTAAGAACGGAAAACAGAATGTTGGTGGACAGGAAAAGAGATTTAAAGATGGCCTCAAAGCCAACCTTAAAAACTCTGGCATAGACACTGGGAACTGGGAAGCCCTGGCCCTTGACCGCTCCAGCTGGAGGTCAGCTGTGACTGCAGAATTCGAGGAGGCACGAGTGGAGGGTGAAAGAGAGAAGCATGCCAGGAGGAAGGCGCGTCAAGCCAACCCCGACCGGGACCTCCTTCCACCTGGAAACCAATGCCTTCACTGTGGGAGAAGATGCGGGTCAAGAATAGGGCTCCACAGCCACCTACAAACCCACAAAAATAGTCATCAAGGAAGACCATCTTACTCGTCTACTCGTCCAACGAGGGATCACCTAAGTAAGAGAAGCACCCACTCTTTTAATATTTAGGAAGGAGCTGAAAACCTGGCTATTGAAGCAGGCTTTTAATAATGGCTACAAATAAAAACCTATGGCTATTATGATTATAATTCATAATCTGGAAACTAATCATATAAATAGTTTTAAATGGCATTATATATTATTTTATAGGGCTTTATAGTTTTTAAATTTGTTGTTTATGTATGCTTATATTGTTGCATATTTTGTTTTATTAATTGATATATGATTATTTTCTATGTATACTATTTATTGCATTTGTCTGTTTGTTGTAAGTTGCACCGAGTCCCTCTGGGGAGAAGGGGCGGGGTACAAATAAAGATTATCATCATCATCATCATCATCATCATCATCATCATCATCTCCCTAGGGAGAGAGTTCCAGAGATGGGGGGCAGATACAGAAAAGGCTCTCTCTCTCATTCCCATCAGCTGTACTTGAGATGAGGGCGGGACCGAGAGCAGGGCCCCATCTGCTGACCTTATCACCCAGGCAGGCTCATAAAAGGGAGATGTGATTGGCCAGGCAATGTGGACCCAAGCCATTTAGGGCTTTAAAGGTCGTAACCAGCATTTTGAATTTTGCCTGGTAGTAAACTGGGAGTCTGTGGAGCTGTCATAGCATGGGAGTGATTCTCTCCCTGTACGAAGTTCCAGATAGTAGTCTGCCTGCAGATCTTTGCACCAGCTGAAGCTTCCGAACACTCTTTAAAGGCAGACACATGTAGAGCACATTGCCGTAATCCAAGCGGGATGTGACTAAGGTATGGACTACCATGGCCAGATCTGGCATCTCAAGGTATGGGTGCAGCTGAAGCAAAGGCACTCCTGGCCATTGCCAACATCTGGGTCTCCAGGGTCAGTGATGAATCCAAGATAAATCCAAAGCTGCAGACCTGTGTCTTCAGGGGGAGTGTTATCTCATTCAGCACAGGTTGTATCCCTATACCCCAATCAGCCTTTTGACTGACCAGGAACACATCTGTCTTGTCAGGATTTAATTCTAATTTATTAGCCCTCACGCAGTCCAATACTGTTGACAGGCACCAGTTCAGGACCAGGACGGCATTCTTGGCTGTTGGTGAAAAGGAGTAATAGGTTTGGGCACCGTCTGCATATATGTGACACCGAACTCCAAAACTCCAGATGATCTCACCAAGGGGTCGAACATGAGTCCCCCAGTACCACTTTCTGGATACAATCCTCTAAGAAGGAGCAGAGCTAATGTAACACAGTGCCACCTAGTCCCATCCCGGAGAGACAACTCAGAAGGATACTATGGTCAATGGTATCGAATGCCGCTGAGAACTCCAGGAAAACCAACAGGAACACACTCCCCCTGTCTAGTTCTCTTTGTGGATCATCTACCAAGGTGACCAGTGCCATCTCTGCCCCATAGCAAGGCCTGAAACCAGATTGAAATAGTTTTTTCCAAGAAACATTGGAGCTGAGAGGCCACCACTCTCTCCAGAACCTTTCCCAGAAAGGGGATATTAGAAACTGGTCGATAGCTATTCAATTGAGTGGGATCAACTGCTGGCTTTTTAAATAGAGGTTTTACTACAGCCTCCTTTAGCCTGGCTGGTATTTTGCCTTGTGCCAAGGAGCCATTCACCAGCATCTTCACCCACTCTGGCCTGTTTAAACATCCAGGAAGGGCAAGAGTCTAGGATACAAGTGTCTCCCTTATGTCTCCCAAGGTCTTGTCCACATCATCAGGCTGTATAAATTAAAAGGAATCCATCAGGGTGGTCTCAGCGTGGATGCTAAAGTCCCCCAGCACTAGTAGTGGTTGAGACTCTCAACACCTCGCCTGAGATCACCCCGGCTAGCTCAGTTAGTGAGACTGTTGAGCAGCGGGGTGGAGGGTACACCAAGAGAATCCCTGTTCTGTCCTGGCCACCGACACTTAGGTATTCAAATGTGGCTGACTAGGATGGAGCACCTGGCCAAGTGGATGGTATCCCGATGGACCACTGCGACTCCTTCTCCCTGCCCCGTGTCTTGCCTGCTGCTACACAGAGAAGCCTAGCAGGCAGAGTTGGGAGAGATTAACACCCTCCCCCTCACCCACCTCATCCAGCCAGGTCTCTGATCAAGCCAGGTTGGCCTGCTCATCCAGAATCAAATCCTGAATGGAAGCTGTTTTTCCATTCACCGACCTGACAGTAAGCAGCAGCATTTTTAACCCTGGAGGACCTGCCACCTTGGTTATCCAGATTATATATGGCTGGAGGTGACCTGGGGGTGACAAGAAAGCTTTTGCAGCCCCCAGGCCACCTCCTCCTCCCACATCTCCCTCTGCCCTGGAGCACCACAATCAGTGCCCCCCTACTCCATGGATCCCCTCTCTGCCCTTCATGTTATGTCCCTATATTTTAACAATCCAACCGCAGTGTTACAAGAATATTGCACAATTTCAAAAAGGTAACCCTAAAGTTGAGCAACACCCCTTTCATCCTCTGTGTAGGTCCCTCTCCCCCCCCACTCTGCTCACTCACTTTCTGAAGCCCCCCCTCCCCTCAGAAAGTCTTTGGTATGAATTTCCTGATACATGCAGATGTCAAATGTTGTACTGTAGCTTATAATAATCCTCATAATTGAAGATGGCCAGAGTTGCTTGGTGTTGCAGTCCATAAATATCTTGAGAGCCATACTGTGCCACCACTATTTATGAAGATAATATCAAACAGCCCCATATGCTGTTGGTTATTATCTAGTTAGGATCTTTTAACCCATAGTTGCCCTTAATAACAGTATGTCTCTTTCATTAGTGAATAAACTTTATTAGAGAATATGAATATAGATCTGATTTAGTACTTCTTTGATATATGTAGATTGGACAGGCAACTATAGCTGGCTCAGGAACTATTTTACCTACACAGGTATAGCAGATTCCTCAGCACTTTGAAACTGGCAAAAATCTGATTTAGGAATAACAGAAAATCAGGTGTGGTTTGAATTTCATGACTTTAGAAGTCTTAAAAGGAAAGTGGAGTGTTAGAATGCAATGCTCATTTTTCACCCTTCCAGATTTGTTACTTGCATATTTGGAGGTATTTGTACATGCTTGTGTCTGTTGAGGGTGATTCGTTTAGGAAAATTGTAGAGGAGCTTTATGGATTTCACAGGATTCTTTGTCTTCGGCACTGTAGCACATTTTAACTGCTGTATACCTTATGCAATTAATATTAGAGTCCTAAATAATTTTATTCACCAATATGAAAAGTGGGTTGGATTGTGTTGTCTCAAGGTTAGGCTTGATATATTAAAGCCATATTAAATTGAATTAAATTTGGGGAATTACACTAAACAACTTAAAATGCTAATTTAATATTCTAAGAAATCCTTGTTGCTGGAAAAGGTGATTTAGATGCACTGTGTGTTCTACATCCCATTGTAGGGAGATCTTCCGAGTTTTGGATTTGATGAAAATGGATATGGTAAATTTTACCATACAAACTCTTCGGCCTCATCTCCAGGAGCACTCTGTCCAGTATGAGAGGAAAAAATTTCAAGAGCTCTTGAATAAATTACCAGGTAGGAATCAAAACTGTTAATGAATCAAGTTTGCCTCACCTCTTTTGCTGAGAGAATTAACACATGCCACATAGAAGCCATCTGGAATACTTTTCGAAAGCATGCACAAGGAGAAAATATTGAAAGTTAAAATGCTTGTTGCTAGATGTCCTACCTTCTACTACATTTTCTGTTACCACATATTATGTCTCCAATAAGATAATTGAACTTAGGGTTCTCTAGGTTGATCTTCATTTACATAATTATATTTCCACCACTTTGGAGAAAATTCTCACTAAGAATGGTAATGGCAAAGCTAGAATTTCAAACTGTATTCAGAAATAGTTTGACAGACCTATTTTATTGTAATTGTTTCTGGAAAGTATGGAAGATATAATGCAAACAGTACATCTCTCCAAAACTTAAAGTGGTGAAGAAGAGAAAAATTAAAATATTATTTTGTGTGCGTGTGCATGTGCGTGTGCGCCTTCAAGTTGTTTGCTGACTACTGAGTCTATGAATTATATATGAAATATAGCCTATAGCATGATTTTTTCATTGGCAGTTTCCCATCCATGTAGTAACCAAGGCCAACCTTCCTTTAGCTTGCACTAAGCCAATGCAATTCATATCTAAAGACTGATTAAAAAAAACAATTCCACAATATTAAATTAAAAATTTTATCATTTGATTCCCTTGCTGCAAAAGTGTTATAATCAAGAGTTGTCTGATTCTTAGGAGAGAGCAAGATGCATTTGTTCCCAGTAATGGTAAAAGTAAAAACATGAAATAGAAGTATCTTGTATGCACGTAAAAGTTGTTCCAAAATTTTCTCTGGTGTCACATTCCAGCTGGCCTAGTGGTTACAACTGAGTGGCTGCAGAAGGCAGCAACTGAAGTATCTTCTGATTTGCAATCCTCCTCATCCATCTCTGAGACCAGTGGGTCGCCTGCACCTACTTCCCCTGCAGCTGCTGGAGAAGTCTTGCTTATCCATAGTCCTACAGCTGTGTTAAACCAAGCATACATGGATTTGCTGCATTGGGATCATGGAAAAGAAGAATATCCTGAGGTAGGGGGTGTTTTTCACAGTGTCCCAGAAATAAAAGAGAGAGAGAAAACCCCAAGAGGGCACATTGTAGGAACTTTTCTAGATCTAAGCAGCATATCTAAAATACAAAATAATATAAAATAATCCATCTCTTCCCCCCCCCCCCCACCCCACCATCTGCTTCATTGTCACTCTAGTTTTAGGCACTAAGGAATTAACCATAGTTTTAGCTTATTTTTTCATATCAATTAAGGATATACATCTCAAGTTTTAGAAATTTCTGCACAATATCCTTATACTGTTCTTTATTTACAGACTATGATGATGGACAAAGATCGTTTGCATGCTCTTCAGAAGGAAGTGAATCAGCTAGCTATTATTGCTGCAGTTCTACTAGTGAGCAACGGCACATGTGGAAATGGGGTGTTTGGCTCAGCAGGTTGTGGAGATAGGTTGAAACAGATAACGAAAGCTTTGCTAGGAGCTCCTGGTGCAAGGTAAAATGCTTTAATCTGGTCCTGCCAACATCTTGCTTTATTCTTAGGATAACAGGAACCAGGATATTGATATAATCACTTAAAAATATCCTTGGCCCAGCCATACAAAATGATTGGTATTCTGAGGAGCCGAGGGCAATTAAAAAGAGCTGAAGATTAGAGCACACTTACTGTAAGACTTCTAATAAATGTAGCGGAAAACAAGTAAGGATATTTTTGTGATCTTACTCTGGCACTGAGTGGTGAGGATATGTTTCTTCTGTCCACCATTATTCCTGCTTTATGTCACTCAGAGGAATGCTTTCAGCTACTTAAATGCCTTTTCAGGTAGAACAGCTTGAACACTTAAAGGCCTACAGCAACCAATTTACAGAACATTTTAGATAAAACTATTTTTAGGACAGAGCTCTACCACATGGTCTCTGGATTCTTCCTCAGGCTTCTAAAATTGTTCATAGCTAGGTCTAGTTTGAACCTTGGAGATCAGTGCGTCATTGAAAAATGGTAGTGTGATCCCTTCTGATCTAAAGGTGGTGAGGATGAGCCATGCCATAAAAGCCAAGTTTGGATAATTATCACCCAGTGTTTAAAAATTTGCTCCCTTTGGGAGATAGCGAAACCATACAGTGTAGTTTATACAGTTGATACAATGCAGGTGTCACATGTTATGAATGCACTATCACCAAATACTTGCTAAACTATTTACTGTATCTTGTTATATTGAAAGTATGCAGGTCACAGAACAACAAGGATCATTTAAAAAGGTTTCAAGGCATTCGTTTTCTCTGAACTTTGCTTAATCAGTGTTTTGTTTTTTTTTTAGTGAAGAGCCATTGCATTGAGTTAGTTTTAACTGATCATCTTCATATTTGATGGCAGTTTGTTTTTGAAATGATAGCATGTTTTGGGTTTTAGCTCTTTTAAAAAGTGATTGTTTTATTATTATAGTTAATAGTACCCCTTGGAAACTGCTTTCGACGTTTCTTTTCCTTTAAGGGTGGTAAAAATAAACATTTTCTAAGGCAGTCAATATTTCCTTTAGTCTGATGCAGCTTGCAATCTTGAGCTGAAGGCTTGGACTCATAACAGGTCAATTCAAATGCTGCTGTGATTCTCCTTTCCTGGTCAGAATGCTCTAATTATTGTACCCTCATTCCATGTTGCTTATGAACAGTAACAAGATGTAATGCAGTAATATACATTTTGACATTTGGGATGTCATATTCACTTTAGAATATATTTAATGGATTTTGAGTGGTTTAACTCTATACTTAGTTTAACTGTTTTCAAATTGGATATATGTACATATATGCTATTATTGATTAATGATGTTTACAGATTTAAGTAATTTCAAAGCCACCATGAGTCCAAATATTGGGACAAAAACAGTATAAATAATTAATATAATTTTAGCTGGGACAACCATAAATTATATGTTGTAACCATTTAACAGAGCAAGAAGGTAGAAGGGTTAACAGTAGGAGTATGCTATTAACGGAAATAATTAAAACTGCACATATAGCTTCTGTCTCAGATCGGAGAGAATTATTGCCAGTTCTCTAATTCCAAGCCTTATAAGCACATCCAGTTGATTCTTCTTTGTTGTCAATGCTTCTAGAGTCTTTCCTGATGTGAGTTTCAATTAACAGTCATGACTGTTCTCCCATTTATACATGGTTTAGGTTAGAAGACACTTTATTGGATATCAGTGGCCAAATACATCAGGAAGTGAACAGAACACTCCTCCAGTCGGGGTACCCTGTTCTTACTGGTGATAAGGCTACTTTGCTGAAAGGTCAACTCAGAAGCCTTGCAGATAAGGACAATGCAGTACGGATTTTAATTGGTGAGTCATTTATGTTTGCATATTTTAATGTAATTTCCTACTTGAGTTTCACATGACAGTGTAGACGATTTAAGCCCAGATTGTGTCTCCAAACTGCAAGTCATAAATAATATTTGCACCATTATGTCTATTCTTGTATTGATACGCATGCACTTCTGTGCATGCTTCATTGACAGTTGCATAGAATATTTCCAGGGAAGCATTGTTTAAATGGAATGTCTAAAACATTTCTAGGATAATCTTTCCATATGGACGGTTTTCCTGCTAAAGCCTCATAAAAGTTTTGGGAGTTTTCTGTAAAATCTTATTCTTCAACACTGGTGTTCCCCTGATCCAATTGATGCCTATTATACATGAAAGATACCGTTTTTGTCTACTTAAATATCCATGCACGGAGAATGAAATTGCAGACAACTTACTTGAGCAGAAAAATATTGATTGACTGTATTACAAGCATCATTTTGCAGTTGATTGATTTGGAGTAGAGAGCTACTCTACAGGGTCCTTCCTTAGAGGAACACAATCACAATTGATGCTATAAATATGCCGAAGAATAATGACATTCATCAGAACAGAAGTGGCATTTTGAGTATCATGACTTATTTTAAAGAGTATTAAAAGACAGAATATGCATTCAGTAGACATAGTCTGGGACATGCTATTCCCATCTAAATGTAAGTAAGGGCATTTGCTTCAGCCTCCAGCAAAGTCATCACTGGTGGAGGGGAAATGGAGCAGAGGTAGGAATCATACAGCTCTTCAGATAACATTGGATTGCAACTTGCAGTATTTCTCCCTGTTAGGAATTACAATTCTTCTGGAGCACATGTATCAAACTCAAAGCCTGAGGGCCTACTCCGGCCCACCACATAATTCTATGTGGCCAACAAGGCTTTGAATGCCAGGGCAACATAGTTACATTTATACAGCCCTCCAGTTACAGCCAGCTTTTGAGGGAATCCGTAAGGCCGATGTGGCCCTTGGGTGAAAATGAGTTTGATATCCCTGTTCTGGAGGATTGTATGATACCCCTGGCACTACTAATAATTTTAAAGAAAAGTTAATTGCCCACAAGTCATGTTGAAGTTCAGTATCATGGTTTCAAGTTTTAAGAATCAGAGTGGATACCTTGTGGGAGGGGATATGCTGAGGTCTGTCTTGTTTTTTCCTATAGGGGAAAGACCTGATCTTAAAATATGTGTCTTTCCTGTCATTTCATTGCTGATGATCCTGTTTCACTTTGTACTGTTCATCTAACTGGGGGTGGGCAAAAGAAAGGAAAGTGTTTGGTACCACAAAAATGGATAGATAAACAAGTCGTAGGCTTTTTTCCAAAGCTATCTTAATTTCCACAGAACAACGGATCAAAACCTTTCTTAGGCACTGTTTATGTCATGGTGGAAAAAACTGTACAACTCTACCCCAAGGACTTGCTCCCATTCAGGAAGAGCTACTGGAAGTTGGCCAACGATTCAGCAGTTTGATTCATTACAACAGGCAGGTTTTTGGTCCATACTATTCAGGAATCTTGAAGAAAGTGCTGCTTCCAGAGGGAAGGCCTGGGACAGCTTCCTAATAACCATTTCAAATGAGGGAGAGCACATGATGGCAGGAGGGGGAAGACTGGCAATTGCTCAGGCTGTGCTTTTGGCTCCAAGTCCAGTGTAATCAACAGAGCAGCTGCCTTGTTCTGTGTCCAAAGCACTTGTACAGCTGGACTAGAGAAGCTGCAGGGTACAGTTAAATAAATACCAACTGGCAATGCCAAGTTTGCTGCAGTAAACCTTTGAACATCTCAAAATGTTGTCTTGTGTTCTTAGACCAGCTGACGTATGTTCTCTTACCTGGGAATGATACAACTAGTACCCTGCTGATATTAGCATTACCCTAAAAGGCAGACTTGACTAATTTTAATGAAACATATTTGCAAGCATGAATAGAATTGTAGCCTTTTATAACATATAGTACAGACTAATACTCATAACCACAGCAACCCATACAGAGATGTCTAATTTTATTAATTTAGTCTGTTCTAAGTCATACAATTATGAAAAACAAACAACAAAACGACTGCTGGAAGCCCAGGAATATTTACAGTCTCGCCTTGTCGTAGTGAGGTCAGTCTATGTTGTTGCACAGATTGGTTATGTTTGGTACCACAAAAATGGACAGATAAACAATTTTATATACAGGAAATAACAAGGAAATAGTTCAAGTATCAAAATACAAAGACAGATCAAATAACATTTTTATTACAAATCAGTCCCACTGCCATACATCACAATTAGCCAAAAAGTGTCTACACTGTAAACCAAACTGTCTGTTACCAAGAATCTACCTGCTCATTTCAGGAGCAAGCATAGAAGAAAATCCTGTTAATAGACATTCATACCGATCATGCAAAAGGAGACAATGTAGGAGTGAAGTATCACCCAAACCATTTTAGTTTTCCAAGTGACATTATTTTAAAAGGTGAGATACCTATCAGGATGTTGTCTACAAGAGCAGCAAAGGTCACCACTAAAGCTGCTCGAGAATTTATTTTCCAGAAGGGAGCAGGGCAGAATTGTAATGCACTTTGAATTCAAATAAGACTTCCCTCTTAATCTAAGGAAGTCTAAAGGCCAGTTTCTATGAGCTAGCAACAGTATGTAACACATACAGAGAAAATATTATATGACTTTGATTTTAATAATGTGATTTCCCATTCAAGAAATAAGCAACCCTTCATCCAACGTAGTATCTACAGTATGTTCTCATTCTGCAGCCATACAAGGTAAATATAAGCTTACAGAAAATAAAGTTTATTTTTCAGGAGGAGGGAAAAATGAAGTACTGGCAAAAGCAGCATAGATATATGATGCTACTTTAGCAAAGGCTGGTGCTAGAAAAAGGAATCGCATTTTCAGAGGACACTTTAAAACACATTTAACGCCAGGAATATAGGGCACTTTCTTCAGTGTGCTATAAATCCTGTAAATAGGCAAGAAGTTGAACACTGTAGACATTTTCAAACTGTTTGGAAGCTGTGGATAACTAGACTTCCTAAGAAAGATCAGGTCCAAAAAGACTTTGATTGCTTTTTTAAAAGAATGTATAAGGAAAAGATGCAGTTAAGCTATTACTAGGTCTACCTAAATTTGTAGAGGAAGCACCTGATCATGAAAAGAAGCATGTTGGAAGATTTTACCATCTACATCTGCCACCATGTTCCAAGATTCCTCCTTCATAACAAAACTTCATTTTTTCTCTCAGAAAAGAATTGCCAGTGCAGCAAAATTTATATGAACAATAATATATCAGTTACAAATGCATATAAAGGAATGTCATGTTGTTAAATCGATCCAATAATCATTTCCAAATCCAAGCCTTTTGGAACCAATTTGGTTTCTGCCCCTACATTTTCATGAACTGGAATAAGACTAAATTACATTTTAAAGATACAGCAGTAAGAAAAGTTGAAACAAGCTATTTACACAGTAGCAGGGTACCACAAACTATCACATCTGCCACAGACTTATTTGCACTTCCTCATCTTTCCCATAGATAGGGTACAGAGAGTTGCATTCGTCACAGCCATAAGCATAGCCAGTGTTTCAGACTGTGATACTTTACATGATGCACAATTATGCGCACAGCTTCCACTTGAAGCAGTCATTCTTGAGTGGAGTAGAATAAGAAATCAAGTGATATAGTATAATGCCCAAAATACCTCCACATTTTCTGTATTCTGAAATTGCTATACTAAGCATACTTAAATTATGAACTAGTATAAAAAGTGCTATTTGTGAATAAACATCTTTAAAAATGTCAAACCATCAGAACACAAACACATTTTTTAAAAAATATGGTGTATGAATGAAATGCAAAGAGCTACAGCTCAGTTATCTATATATACAGCCTGGGGAGAAAAATGATACTTCACCAGAACAGAAATATTGCAACGATACAATTATCTGCACTGAAAACAGATTTGTATCAGGTTTCTGTTCAGTAATCATCACTCAGGGTTAAATATTGATGATTACAATAATTTCCTCCACTTAAATGCTTACTGCAGCTCTCAAACTAGGTGCCAGTACCTCCAAAATACATTTATATTGCAGCAATCTTGGGAACTTGTTGAAGTGAATTTTTATACACTGGAGCATCCACTCACCCCATATTATAAGACAGACATTCTTGTGTTTTCTTTTATCAGATAGGACTCTCCACTGTCAATGCTATGCTGAAATTGTGGCTCTTACAGTACCACTGTATTAAAAAAATTAATCTATAGCACATGGCATCAAATCTCTTAATTTCAGATGTTTCACTTTTACTAGAAACGCATACTGTTCGTTTTTATTTTATTGTACGCTTGTGGCTGGAATCCCTTTTCACACAACTCTGGAAGTCCTTAATGAGCATCCAAGGACACATCCCAGAGCCGAGTGTTGATCTTCACACCATCAGGGTCACACTGCTTCATAATGGTCTGCCCCTTTACTATATTTTCCATGATGCAACGTGGATGTCTGCAGTTCAGCTTGGCAGAAGGCAAACAGAATGGGGTATAATATTAATTAAAAGAAAAATAAGAAATGAATGATTTCATTCAGATAAAACAGCGGAGGGGCCTTTATGATGACAGTGATGGAAATGCTGATAGGCCTATGGCTTTATATTATGCAATAGCCATATGGCTGAAATCTGCTATTCATAACCATCTGCTATGATGTTTACTGGAAACCACACCATTAAAAGGCACATGTACTACATCATCTAATTTTCAGAAGAACGGAGCAGTGACATTGCCTGCAGATGTTATTAAAGAGTTTTGGTACCTGTTAAGCGAAGGGAGTATGTGCTCCTAAGTTTCTTAAAAGTCCGGGCATCCAATTTGAGAACAAAAGAAAAATATAAAGGTATTTCAAACTGCTTCTTAAATGACTGTGGCAGTGTATCTCCAGTTTCTTAATCCTATTTATCTCAGTAAAGAAGATTAGTGGCCTAGTTCATTAGGAACAATGAAAGAAATAATGTGTGTATACACTTGATTGTTTGCTAACATAGTGTATGTCTCTAGAGTCTTGGTTTCTGTGTTAAGAGCCCACAGTTCTGGTTTACAATATCAATTCCCTTTCAAAAAATGTTCTTGGAGAAGATAAATGATCAAATACAGAACTATTTTGTTCAATCTGTAACAAGCTTCAGGGGATACCACTGGAGGGAATCTCATCACAGGACTTTTTTATTTCTGTTGAATTTCAAATGTGAGCAGAACTGTACTTAGAAAGGAGGAGAACTGTGTAGAAGCCACTCTTCAAAGTGATTAAAGGGACAGGGGCAGATATCAGGCTTTACACCTCACTCACCATCCACAATTGTCTCACAGTTGAACCTAACATTTATCTCAGAACAAACAGGCATGAAATTTTCCTCGTCTCTGTCCAGTAAAATTTTTGTTTCAACTCTGTAACAACATCAAGGGTAACTGTTTCAAGAATGAGACTTTGGACCTAATATTGACTTCTTAAACTGGTCATCACTCAAAATTTAACTTCCAATTTACAGGCATTGTTTCAGGAGTTGAGTAAAGTTTGTATCTGAAATATACGAGGGGCCAAATAGAAAAGACTACTGGCCTGCCTGGAGATAGACAAATAGCAAGTATTTTGATAGTTCAGTATGAGCAGGCTCTAACAGAATGCACTTAGTACAAAACTATGTTTTCCCCTGTAAGGGAACTGTATACAGCAAAGTTCCCCACCCCATTTCTTTCTGTACTTTTGATTAAATATGAGGCCCTTATTGTCAGTCTTTGCTCATAATTTAGGATTAGCAGCATGTGCCTTTGAAAATGTTCAATCTAATCAGTCTAGAAAACAAGATTTAAAATTCTTTTCAAGCAGATTGGTTATTTTGAATAGAAAAGCCAAGTAGTAAATCAGAGGATGGCAAGAAATACAATGGACAGCTGAAAACAATGGTTGGACATTCTGGTATCTATATCAAGCCTGAATCCTAAGAAAAAGAAACAGTGCTTAATAGAAGTAGTCATATTGCCTAGAAGACTTTTATATTACACCATGCATTCAGATATCCAGGGATAGCAAAGATTGTGAGCAGGATCCATGCTAGGGTATGGTGAGCAAGAGGTTTGCTAGTAGTATCACAGTGGTTAGCGTCTTCTGATTATAATAAAAGAGTGCTACTCGTTGGAACAGTTTGTGGCCATGGCTCAGGGTGGAGGTATAATCTAGATTGCAACAGAATGTACATGTGAGACCAAAGTTGTAGAACAGTCCAAGAATAAGAATGTTAAATAGAAAAGGCCCATGGAGTGTTGATTCACTCCACAAATTCACAGTGTCAAAATGAAGACAAAGTCCAGGAACACCAGGTGGTTTCCAAAATCCACATATTCGACTCCCATATACTTTGTTTCTCCCACCTCTTGAACCATCTAAAACAGGTGGTTCTTTCAATTAGTTACCCTTTTTCCATTAGGAGAATTCACAGTGTTCAGTAAAAATCAGGTACAAAAAGATGTTTAGTCTATGGTATCCTAGTGTTGCTGCCTCTGATGGTGCCACACCTAGTGCCAGCAATGGGAGGAAGGAAGGGTTTAGAAGAGGAGACAGATCAGACTGCAAAGGCACGGTTAGACTGGATGGATGCAGGATTTGTTTTCAGAAGATAGTAGTCTCATACTTAGTGCTGAGGGTCCTCTTGGAATCCTGCTTGGGCTCCACTACCCAGGACACACTGGCATGAGACTGGGAATCTTGGTCCACTTCAGAGGGCTCCAACTAAAGACACCAAAAGGAAAGAACAGGTCAGACAAGTTGCTTCCTCTGAAAATGTGAAGGCAGAACTAGCATATTATTCAAATTGATACTGTGATAAACAGCTTTGGGAGCAAGATGTTGAGGTTCTTTCTTTTATTTTTTTAAATGCTTAAGTAGAGGATGTGCAGATGAAGAGGTAAATCACTAAAATATCAACATAAAGACATGAACCAGTGTTCCAGGTAATGGAAACTTTCAGAATATGAGCAAATTAAAATGTATACAAGCAAAAATCAGTACAACTGAAGATGCAATTTGGTGCAGTTTGTTAACATTCAGTAAGGGGAAATAAATGAAGAGAAAGTAGCAGAGCAACAGAGCTGGTTTTTCTAGTGTGACCTATTATTCAGGTCTGCTAAATTTAACAGAAAAAAAGGCAAAACCCAGCAAATTTATCAGTGAAGTGAAATTTTAACTTTTATGTAATGTCATGTAAGAGAGATTAAATTTGGTTAACTAAATTAAAATGTAGAAAACAAAAGGAAACACGGCAGCAAAGCTTTGGGAGAAAGAATGACATAGTCTGTAGGTGAGTTTTTGAGTAACAGAAAGCATTCATAACTAGAGACGTGTGACTGCAAGAAGGGTAAAGACCTTAGCTCCTTGACTAATAGATTGCAGCGGCAGATAGGAGGGACGGTGTGTAGTACAGGTGTGACAGTAACAACAGCGATTATCGGGAGGGAGCGGCACCTGAGGTATAGGAGCAAGCAAAACACAGACAAAGGTAACATTGAAGGAAAACATAAGTATAAGAGGTATGTGGCTCAGCACTCCAGTTGGTTGATTTCCTTGTTAGATCAACAAGGACTCTTAATGTGACTATGACAATGTGGTCCTATCAATTCTACAGAGATGTTTGAGGGAATGTGTGAATACCAGCACAAACAAGGCAGGGGTTGGTGATACTCTCAAGTGTGAGCAGTACGGGAGAAATACCGTAATTAGACACCAGCAGATTATCAGTGGTAATTATCCAGTTAACACAAAAATTACATACAGCACAAGGAAATGATACAACCTATAATCGACTTGAAAAACAGTTATGTTTTTGAAGAAAACAAATCAGTAGTAAAAGAGCCCTAATGACTATAAAAATACTAATGTCCTCATGGGTCCCCATTCATTGGAACTCAGCAATTCTCTGCAAACATCTGAGTTAAGAATGGTAGTATGTTTTACTTTTGATCTGGGCACCAAGATGTGTGTGTTTTTGGAGCTTTGTCATTCATTTGAAGATAAACTGACATTGCCCATTTAGTCCTTGATTACCACTTAAACTGGACAAATGGATCTACTATATTGGATCACAAAACAAAGAGAGTTTACCATTGTCATGAGTGAATGGCTCTTGCCCTGATTATTTTCTGGGGAGACTATTTCCCAACCACCAAATTTTGGACTTTTTACACTTCAAGCATATTCAATTGATGTAAAACAATAAACATCCATGAAGTTGTTGTAGATCCAAGGTCTACAACAACTATCTATACTGTCAATCAGAATACTAGCTGACACAGAAAAATTGTGAACAAATACTCCATAACTTCATGGATGTTGCTGTGTGATTTCAAGGTGTTTTCCACGCACAGTGGCCCTAACTATATAGTGACCCATATTTAACTATGAAACAAATCACCCACTAGAAGTTTAGTCTAAAGACAGAAATCCATTTCTTTGATTATTCACCAGGCCTCTTTGAAGAGACACCAGTGACAACAAGAATGGTTGGTCCATTGCTAAACTAGTTGGGCCAATTTGGAAATTGAGACAGAATTAGTCAGATCAATCTGCATAATCTGGATTTCATAAACTGTCAACAACAGTCGCTAACAAGCAAAAAATGGCAAGTGTTGCACTGTAGATACATTGTGTTTTGCCTTCATAAACATAGGAAACAAGATGCATAGAAGGTGGAATTTGCTTGGATATTCAAAGGAAGAAGTCCTGACTATGAGTTAGGAACATCTTATACCCACTGGCATGAAAAATCTGAATTGTGCTCTCACTTTTGTGACATAATTTGGCTGCAATCCAATATTCCCTCATCATAGTATAGATATCTGCACACAGATACATTACACAGACATGATGCAGCATCTCCATGCAGCATAACAACACTGCAACACATGTCAATGACTATGTGCTGTTACATAACATATGGTGAACAACAGCAATGCACAAACACAACACTCTGTGCACATTCACTATTTGCAAAGACAAGGCACAGTAGAACATGCTGTCTGTACAATTCCTTTTCTCTCCTATCAGAATATGTATTGTAGTGGTGTCTTTTTGGCCCCACATGCATAATGTAAATGTATTGTTGCCATCACAGAGTTCATTTGACAAGATCTATTCAGAGGGGGTTTATCTTTGCCTTCCTTTAAGGCTGAGAGACTGATTTACTCAAGGACAATAAGTGGGTCTCCATAGCCGAGTAAGAATGTGAACTCCAATCTATAGAGGTGTAGCCTGGTGCTTAAATCACTACACCACCCATAACTAGTTCTGCTTGTTATCATTTTAAAATAAAACTTTATTGTACTGTAATACAAAGTATACAGTAACTTGTCTTTGTTTCTATTGTCTCAGAGTTGCTCGGTGGACCATTTATTACATTTGCCCGAAGTGACTATATGGAATTAATTAAATTAACTGAACTCAGATAAGAAAGAAGGAGAACATGAGACTTTTGTTATTTGCATAGAAAGTATTTTCTTGTCTGCTGTAGTCTTGCATCACGTTAAATACTAATATAAGGATCAATTAAAAAAATAACATACTGTTGATTTCCTCATGCTGGCTCGAGGCTTAGGCACTGGTTTAGAAGATTTTGTTTCTATTGTTTCAGCTGTCAGAGCACCTGGAGGTTTTGATTTTTGAGCTTGGAGAGCCAGCTGGTAGGCTACTTCAAATGCTTGCCCCAGTGTCAAAATGATTTCATATGTTAGATTCTTGAGAAAAGAAAGAAAGAAAGACATGTTACTTCAGCAAAAAGGGCACTAAATAATATCTTAAATATCACTTTACTGTAGCTTGCAGACAAGGCCTAACTTCATATGGTGAACATTATTCCTCAGTGTCACATCTTTATAAGTAAAACTATATTTCCCAAATGAAAGAAACAAAAAACAGTGATAACCACTGCATTGGTAAGAAGTGTACACTTATGGACTTCAAATATTTGCCAGGCCTTTGTGGTATTGACCTGGATGTCATTCAAAATATGGCTAATGGACCATCGCTTTTCCTTTTTTGGCACTGGAAAAAAACTCACAATCAACCTGCCTCAAGTTTTTCTCAGTTCATATGTCTCTACAGATTATTATTAGGGTACATTCAATTAGTACTAAGTACAATAAACTCCCTGAATCAATGTGTACTTCATAAATCAATCCTTATATGGGTCCATTTACCCTACAGTTCACAGCATATAGCCCACAAACCTCAACCACATAGATATTTATATTTACAAATTAAATAAATTGCAGGCATGTACTCCTAGGTCCCTCTATCAGCCATTCTGTGTTTCACAAATCTATTTTTCATACCCTTGTAGCTATGAAACACATTCTCTTCTATTATTGCATATCTCTTACCACATCAATGGTACTGAATACATGACAGTAGTGGTGGCTAGTCTGCAAGTCCTTGGTGATATAGGCAAATGTACAGAGATCCTCTGGGTCTTGGGCAGCACAGGAAATATTCCGGATTTCATGTTCAGCAATAACATTCTGCCAAACATAAGCAAACACCAGGTTTTGCTCAATATTATATACAGTATAGCTGCCTTTAAAAAAACCCTTACATTCATAATAAAATGTTTCATTTCATTAATGTATAAATTGATACAAACCACTGCCATCAAGTAACCGCACATACATTCATACTTCTGTTTAATTTTGGCAGCTGTCATAATCTTACCTTCTCTTAAATTGTGACTCTACAGATGATGATGGTCTACAACTCTATCATTGCCTATTATCAGTAATTTCAGTTGATAGAACTTGCAGTACAACATCATAGAGAGAAGGGGGTCACAGGCTGCCTATCCTTGCTTTAAGCAGGCTGAAAAATAATTATGACCCAGAAGTCATCTTCTCAGAAGTCATTCCGATACAAGATAATAAAAGTTCTAAAAGGAAGCCTTACATATTAGTCAGCAACCCTTGCTACCACACAAATATACCTCAGTATTGTTTGTATTAGGGGCAGATCGCTTTTTATAGAGTCTAATGTAGGAAAAAACTGGGCTAAAGAGTTGGAACACCAGCAAAATTCTTAACAATGATGACATTTCCCTTCCAAGCCTATAAAGCATGGTTCAATTGTATACAAAGTGGTCTTCACAGCAACATTTAACATGTGCAAAGCATCACTCAGTTCCATGCACCACTTTTGTAGGTTGCACACCACAGCTCAGCTTTTGGGACTTTAGATACGTGTCTTCTACTTTATCCCCAATCACTGATCAAAGATACTAGTGGAAAAGGCTTGTGTCAGGTTTGAGACTTCCACTTTTCAATCCTAATCTGGCCCATGGGCCACAGGTTCCCCATTCTTAGTTAATACTAGGAATAGTTCTCAGGGTTTCAGGTAGGGTAATTTCCTTACCTTGTTAGAGGCATCTATGAACTTCACTCCTTTGTAAGTGATGGATAATATTATTGTTGGGATCTTCTTCATATGTTCTGTAGATTTCTTCACAAAAGGAAAGAAAACCCTCATTAAAAGACAAAATGCTGATTCTTCTTTTTGTGGGTGGAGTCATGGGCAAGCAAAATTTCAGAACCTTCAACACCACACATGTTTTGGATTTCATAACTTCACAATGATCTTTGCAATAGGGATGCATTAAAAAAAGAGAAACCGAGTTCTTGTCAGCAATAACCTGTCAACCATTTCACAGTTTTAAAGGAATCTAGTAAAGATATTGACTAGCATAAGATAGCAGATTGTGAAGCTATGAAAATGAAAAGATTTTCCAGTTAATATGGTCTGGGGTTCTGATTTGAAGATTCAAAAACGGGATGGCAGAACATACAGTTTTTCTTTCAAGATGGACAGGGGTGCTGTGTTTTATGAAGAAGTGGACACTTACCCTCATTTTTGCACAGGCATCCTGTGTTGATTCTGTCCCTCGAAGATCTTTGATTAACATGGATCCTAAATACTGACAGGGAGAAAGAAGCGAAAGTAACAGTTAGCATTACTGTTTGTAGACCTATTAACCCCAAATACAAAGGGATCTTGCAGCACCTTACAGATGAACTCATCCAATTCACTACTGACAACAGACATTGGTTCAATACTGAGACTGTCCTTGGAATCAGATGAAAACAACAAGTAGCCCAGAAACCTATCATGGCCAATGTATTGAAGTCACTGATACGTTTAGCAGAAGCAACAGGGACATGCACCTGGCTCCCAATATAGGCCATCTACAAGGCAATTATCATTGTCTCAGGCCCATAACCAGCACTGAAGTCAGTTGGGACACTAATCTAGATAACCTGTTTCATGTAGAAATCCATGGAGCTAGAAAGCCACCAGATCCTAGGATCTTTAATGGCCTCACTATAGCTTCCTTTGGGTGGAGCTGGAATTTCACTTGCTACACCATTCTCCTTATCCACTCAGCCAGTCCCTCTCTAGCTCATTTCAAGAGCCATGAGGGGCAAGGGTTCAGTTCATATGTGGTGGCTCTGTTTTTTTCTATGGTAAGTATCCTGTCAACACCCTCAGGCTGTTTTTGAAAATAACTTTTCCATCTCCACTACAACAGGTAAACAGGTAGGCATTTGTGATGACCTTGGAGGGCTGGACTCCCACTGTATTTCCCAGGAACCAAATATCCTCTAAATGGTGGGGGTTGCCATTTTTAAGCCCTCCTGGCCATTTTAGAGATGACTTTTTTAGCCACAGAAAGTGAACAGAAATGTTCTCCTGCTTTCAAAAAAAGCTACTTCAGGGCATTTTGGGGTAAAAAAAAAGTTCTAATTCATGGGGAGGACACAAAAATGGTTGCAGAGGGCTGCGTAAACCCATTGGCCACACTTTGTCCACCTGTGTTTTATAGTGATTATTCACCAGATTAATGAATTTGTATAATATGATTTAGAAAATACTTACATTGGCTTCATACCCACAAGACTCAAATATAAGTTTCTCTGGCTGGTGCTGCCAATGTTGAACAGGGGCATAAGGAGCAGCGAGACTTGGGGGTCTGAGCGTAAGTTTGGATTCATGACGTTCCTCCTGAAAAAGCAAGTGTCAGTTTAAATCAGAATCAGGCCACTGAGATTTGCTTAGTAAGTTTTCTGAAGATGAATGTTATATAGTGTGGTTACTGAGACTTTCCTTTATATATTATTATAGTGTTTCATAAAGCTTGATGTAGTTTACATGCGCATGGATCTTCTACTTATCAACATAAATATTTGATTTTACATAATAACAAACCGGTACCTATATTAAAAACCTTGAACAACTTGAAAGACCTGGGGAAAATTGGAAGTTTACAGGATTTTCAAAACAATGAGGGGAAAGTTGCCAAAGCTTTGCATCCAGTGCTTAAAAAATCTATCTCCTAATCCTTGCTGTCCAGACCAGTAATACAGGAAGACCAACTGGATCAAACAGTTGGTATACAATACCTCTGCTGAAAGAAAAGGATTGCCTGCCTGTTTTGTACTGGGTCACATTTAAGGTTTTGTTACTTGTTTACAAAGTCATATATAATGGGAACTGGTTATCTGACAGGCAGCCTTCTTTATAGTTTCATTCACTCAATGGGGTCATATGGAGAGGGCCTCCTGGCAGTGCCAAAGGTGCACTGTGAAATTGTTTGGACCAGAGTGTTTAGTGTGTGGTTGCTACTATGCAGAATGCTCTCCCATTAGATATTTAGGATGCTCCCAACTATTATTAATTCTAAAAACATATTTATGCAAGCCTTCCCTACCTAGCACAAGCTAACATCTATGGCATGGGCTACATGCTCTATTGTGCATGGGCATTGAGTATATTTTATGTTTTATTGGTTTGAAAGTTTTGGATCTATGCAGTATATAAATATTCCTAAATAATAAATTAATCCTTATTTAGACTTTAATCACAGTTGATAACACCCTGGTGATTAAGCACTGTCTGGTAAGAAGACCCATGGGAATCAAATTGGCAGCCTTTTGAATCTATTTATTTTATTTATTTATTTCGTGTACTTATACCCCGCCCTTCTCAACCCCCGAGGGGGGACTCAGGGCGGC